GTGCAAGCTGCTAAACGAGCTGCTTGAGGTCGTCCTGCACCTAGTTCATTTGAAACTCTTATGATGAGGAGAAATTAAGGCAATTAAGTATACAAACTAGTGAAAATGTAACCGAAGGGATCTAAAAGTGTTAGAAAAATTCACCTCGTAGCACCACTTAGTCCTAGAGGTATCATATACACCATCGCGCATGTATTAAGGCTGAAATATTTAAGAAGTAGCAACTTTTTGATGAAACAAGATGTTCAGCTTGATATTAGCATGTCTGAGCTTAGGTAGTCCAACCTGATAGAAAGAACTGATGTCTCTAGCTTTGGATTTGGAAGAAGTCCAGCCAACAGAACCATCATTTCAAACGACCAAATCTCTAAGTTGTGTCAAAGAGAAGCAACATGGTTTGATTCATTTGATCATTTTGAAAGGACGAATATATGATTTACATAAGATTAAGAACACTACCAAAGCATAGCAGCTGAAGGAATCGCAAGTCTTAGATATTTCCAAGTATCTTGAAATGCTTCTTTTGAAAATCCAGTACAAGTGCTTTTACAAGAAGGCGATATTCTGACATATAAAGCTAGCAACAAAAAATTAATCTAGTAGGATATAGCGTTAGCCAAAGCAGCACCTTTGTTGCCTAGGCCAGATTTAAATATCAGAATCCAACAACTGAGTAAATGCAGTAAAGTAGTGATTCCGGCACTGAACATCATGGGTAGCACATTGTTTTGGGCTTGTAGAAATCTAATATGACACTGGAGAAGCGCATAGGCGAAGATAGATGGAATCATATAGCGCGCGTAACTTCCTGCTTCAGCTGCTATTTCTGGATCTTGTCCCAAAAATACAAGAGTATACCCTGCATTAGCCCAAATACAGGCAAATGGAACACTGGCTAGTAGAAGAACAAGCATTGCCCGTTGCATATGGATACCAAGCATATGATACTGCTTTGCGCCATATGATTGCCCACATAAAGTGCCCAATGCACTTCCCATTCCCATCTGCTCAAGCAAGATAAAGACTGAAATGTAGAGATGATATAGCACCTTTTAACTTGGTATCAAATAATTAAAGAGGTAAATACCTATGCACTATAATTAAAGCCATATTAATCAAAAGCTATCCTATATGTTCCCAAAGGGATAGTTTGGTGGTTGAAGCATATGAGTAACAACTTGAGATTTCAGGTCTGAATCCTAGCTGCGACACTCATTGTTAGTCCATTTCATCAAACCTTGGTGGGCAGGATTACCTGACACATGTGCTTGTGGACTATAGCAGGCTGCTCGGGTGAGTAGTCGAGGTACGTGCAAGTTGACCCGGGCATAATCGTTAGTAAAAAGGGGCATCTAGTACAAGCCTCATCCAAAACTTTTAGTATATTTTTAAGGATCTAAATGAAGTTCTTTGTGAACTTGTTTTGACATGAGGCGTTAAGGTGAATGAACAGTCCATATATTATTTTTCGAAACAACCATTTAATAACAGATCATCTAGAAACATGAGCTTTAACTAATGCAACATGTGTTTCCTCGAGCACCAGGAGCACTTTCTTTACTTGTCTTATGGGAAGGGAAGCCTTGGAGCAACAGTGAAGTTGTATCCGTGTGACCTATAGGTCACAGGTTCAAGCCGTGGAATCAACCACTGATGCTTGCATCAGGTTAGTTTCCTACATGGGTACGGCCCTTCTCCGGACCCTGCGTAAATGCGGGATGCTTCATGCACGGGCCGACTGTCGTATTTTTACTTGTCTTATGCTGTAGAATCATTACTAAAGAATAATAGTCTAAAGGTTTTTACACTATAAGGTCACCATAAAGGAAAAAAGCAAAGGAAGTAGCCATAGAAGCACCAGAAAGAGCTAATTCTCCAAGATGACCAACAAACATTACAGATATAACCAGTGACGGACGCACACGGAGGCAAGCGGGTTAATTGAACCCGCTTCGTCAAAAAATAATATTGTGTATTTGTATAAATTACTATTAAAGCTGCGTAAATTTTCTATAAATATTTTATTTAAACCCACTTGACAACTACTATTTTACGACTAAAGTTATGTACTTCTAAGATTGAACCCGCTTGCACAAAATTCTGGGTCCGCCACTGGATATAACCTGTAAACAATATAATAGAAAGTTCACTGACATAAGAGGCCCTGCTAATACCAACAGCTTCTTAACTTCTACCAAAATCTCATTTCTTCTGTTCTTAGACTCTTCCTTTGCAGTTTCTGTAATCAATGGACAGTCAAGATCTTGTTCCCTCTCTTGTATATCCATTTTCCTCTCTCAAGTCTCAACCTTGCCTATGCACTGCGTAATGGTACTCAGTCTCGTTTGATACGAGGGATAAGGGATAATTAATCCCGGGATTAAATTTGAAATAAGTTTATCCCAAGTCTGGTTGGAATAAAATCGCGGTATAAGTAATATCGAGATAATTAATCCCGGGATAACTTTCCAACCAAAAGACCAGTATAATATCAATGTCGGAAAATGAAGTTTGAAACAACCCAAGCTGCAGCCTTAAAAAGCTTATCCAGTCTTATTTTTTAGCTTACTAGTTTCATTAGACCTGATCTTGAAAACATGTATAGAAGTTAAACTATCTTGTAAATTGAGAATTTTTACACTTTCAAATCACGTGTAACTCATAATTAATAAGCTAAAAATAAGACAAGTAATCTAATATAACAGAATAAAATACATTATTAATGTACTTTTCTTATATTGACAAGTTAAATCCGGATTAGTAATGTGGTAGGATTTATTTAAAAACGACAATAAGACAGGAGATCATGTCCGAACAACTTGCTGATTTTACCACTTTCCAAGATTGACTTGTATTATAATTTAATTTTCTTTTCGTCTTTTTGGTCAGGAATATCAAATTCAGTCATTATACTTCTACGGTACGAAGGGAGCCATGACGTAATTGGTAAAGTTGTTGTCATGTGATCAAGAGATCGCGGGTTCGAGCCATGAAAATAGCCTCTCGCAGAAATGTAGGGTAAGACTGCGTACAATAGACCCGTGTGGTCCTGTCCCTTCCCCGGACCCCGCGCATAGTGAGAGTTTAGTGCACTGGACTGCCCTTTTTTATACTTCTACGATATGACACCATATAGACGGCAGGGGCGGAGCTAGAAGCTCATATATGAATTCGGAAATAATTCAGTAGTTTTAGTATATAAAATTAAGAATTTACTAAATATATTCTAAAAAATTAAATTTAGAACTCAATTACTAATACATGGTATCGACATAATAGAAAGTATGAGCGAAAAAGTAAACCAATGAAGAATTTGTTTTACTTTTGAGACATATTCTTATTTCAACTTGAACGTTAATATGAATCAATAAAAACATAGCTTAAAGTGGAGTCAAATATGCTTGGCCAAAAATGCCATAAATTTAGACTTTATATTGATTTGTTTTACATAAGTTTTAACCAGAAAAGATAGTGGCTAGACCTAATTTAAAGGCATGGACAATTATTGTCTGTGGACTAATTGTGGCGGGATTATTACACAAATAGCTAGTCAGATTTAATATATATATATATATTATACCTCTGTCGGCTATTATTAGTTTAAGAGATTAGGAGGACGACTATTTGGGTTAATTCTTCTTTAACAACTTAACGCAACTATTGATATGTGACAGATACGACTTTCTTTTTATTATATGTATAGAGGTGGAACCTCTTTCTCTAAATTCATCAAGTATTTAGAGAACGTAATAATTAGTAAAAATTAAAGTGGATATTAGGATTAACCATTGATTACAATTTGTTGGTGGCTTAGATTTGAATTGTATCTCTTCTCTTCTTTTTTTCCCTCATTCGTGAGTTATATAATGTCATTTGTCATAATCTATTCAATGGTCTTAGATTTAATACTAAAATATATTGATATGATGTTTTTCACTTACATAAATTTGTTGTCTCTTGTTTAATTAAATATAAAAATATTCGAGTAGAAATAGTAATCACGCTCGATCAGTTCTTTAACTTGCTGCTTGATTGATGCATATTCTATTTCATATGGGTTGATAATTACTTTATTTAAAGATGTTATTTTGTTCATATTTGTCTCAATCATTCAAATAGATAATTTACCAATAAATAAAACTATAGGCTCTGATACCATTAGGTTCAAAAGAACAAGGCACTATAAATGCATTACAAGATAGTAAAATAACAAATACTCAATCTAAACTTTCTCGCTCTATTTAAACCACGGCGAGCAAGCAAATTCTAACACAAATGGCATCCAAACAACTTAAATATGAGCAAATATAAGGACCGGTCAAAGGGTGAAGCAACTGAAGCAGGTGCTTTAGGCCCTAAAATTTTGGGAGGCTCAAATTTTCCTAATAGATGTTTAAGTTTATTATATTTTATTAATTATATAGTATTTCGAAGGAGAAAATCTGGATTTTCAATAATAAAAAAGAAAGATGAAACTATTGAGCATAAATTGGGAAACATAATAGTCATTTTGGGTATCACTCTCTAGGCCATAGTATATAAACTATATTTGAGGGAGAGAACCAAATCATTGTCGTTAGATCAAAGAACTATGGGCGGAGGACGTGCAATAAAATTCAGCATGATCAAATGATGAACAAAGCGAAAATCATAGTTTGTTCAAAACTGGTCGAAGTTGTTTTCTGCACAATTTTCTGTACTCTTGGCAAATCCTCATATCATAAGTTATTTTTGAAATTGAGTTAATACCATGTTCATGTTCTTAACACATAAATCATTGAACACAAGTATGGTTGATTATATTATTGAACAATGAATTCAAGAAAATTACATAAGCTTCAAATATCAAAAGGAAAAGAGAACTCTTTTAGATTTGTGTCTAGTGTGATGGATTCTACCAAGAAAAGTTAGATGAACTTGTGAGCATCTTGCCATATTGTTTGGATATTAACTCTTTCTCTGCATGTCAAATATCATTCTGTATTTTCTTCTATGCTAGCTCTGAAGTCACCCTATCAACTGCCTTCTTTGCCTACAAACTCATAGAAGACTTGCATTATTACTATATTTCATACAACTCAAGGAAATCAAAAATTTCTGATCTATTTTGAGACATAATATAATTACAAATATGATATACGGCGTAATCTTTAACCTGAGCTGGTAACAGGATTCAAAGAATCTTAACCGAGTTACCCAAGGGTCATATGAAAACACAAATTTACCTCTTTTTCCCAATTTGTCAGCAGAGTAACTATTAAAAGAAGTAGAGCTTGTGCAAAGACGGCAAGAGTGATTCCCGACCAAAGTCCCTGAAAAAACCATATCATAAGTTTTTCGACTAGTTCCAAAGCCAGAAATGCCAAGAAATGAGAAGCTTGAGGGAATACCTTTCCACCAAAATGGTAGACAAAAGCTAATATAACACCAGCAGGTATTCCGAAAAGGTAATAAGCTCCCAAGTTAACAACTGCCCCTATATTTTGCCAGCCACAACCTCTTGCAATACCTGAATTTTGGTACGCGATAAGGTCATCTGGTCATTTTACTGAATTTTGTCCTTCAAAAAGATACTAGCATCTTAGGAATATATTGAAGAAACATTGTTTAAATGTCTAACAGAGGCGGATATAGCATATAGTTGACGGGTTCAACTGAACTCAGCATTTTCAACACATAATAGATCCACATGTGAAAAATCACTAAAATTTCAAAAGATAATTAACCATAACCTCAAAAGTATAATAGGTTCGACCATAAGAACCTAAAGGTTGAATCCATCAAATTTAAATCATGGATCCGCCTCTTATGTCTAAGCGGAATAATTGCAAAATTGCTTCTCAATTTCGATTTGGCTAATATTCTGATATAGTCTAAAGCCTTGCTTTAACAAACCAAGAAACATAGTTCAGATTCTTGAAACATAGCAATGGGAATTTTGTGTATTATAAGTTTGGACAAACCTGAAAGTACAGATTGAATACCATCTAAAAAATGGGATCCTGCTATCAAGACTAGCATTTTTGCTACATATCCCACTACTTCTTCCTCAGTGCTATAACAATAGCCCCACAGTTTACGAACCGAAATCAAAATTATTGCTGCAATAGTGCCTTCTGTAGCCACCAAGAATACTGCTGTGCAAGCTGCTAAACGAGCTGCTTGAGGTCGTCCAGCGCCTAGTTCATTCGAAACTCTTACGCTGAGGAAAAACACAGCGTATACAAACTAGTGAAGAAGAATATATAAAGGAAAATGTAACTGAATGAGGTTTAAAGATGTTAGCGACTCACCTCGTGGCACCACTTAGTCCTAGAGGTATCATATACACCATCCAACATGTATTAAGACTGAAATATTTCAAACATTATTAACTTATTGATGAAATAACATATTCAGGTTGATATTAGCATGTTTGAGAAGTCCAACCTGATAGAAAGAACTGAGGTCTCTAGCTTTGGATTTGGAAGAAGTCCAGACAACAGAACCATTATTTCGTAAGACCAAATCTCTAAGCTGTCATTAAAAGTAAAATGGTATGATTCATTTGATCATTATGTAAAGACGAATCGAAGATATAAATTTGATGAATTTAACCTTCATGTTGAAATTTTTGTGATTTTTTTCATATATATCTATTCTTGCAAAAATACTGCTTTCAGTTGAACCCGTTGGTTATATATTACATCCACGTCTATTGAATATGTGTATATATAGACTAAGAACACTACCAGAACATAGCAGCTGAAGGAATGGCAAGTCTTATATATTTCCAAGTATCTTGAAATGCCTCGTTTGAAAATCCGGTCCAAGTGCTTTTGCAGGAAGGCGATATTCTGACATATACAGCTAACAACAAGAAATTAATCCAGTAGGATATCGCGTTAGCCAAAGCAGCACCTTTGTTGCCTAGGCCAGATTTAAATACCAGAATCCAACAACTGAATAAATGCAGCAAAGTAGTTATTCCGGTACTGAGCATCATAGGTAGCACAATGTTTTGGGCTTGTAGAAATCTAATTTGACACTGGAGAAGCCCGTACGCGAAGATAGTTGGAATCATAAAGCGCGCATAAGATCCTGCTTCGGCTGCTATTTCCGGATCTTGTCCCAATAATACAAGAATGTGTTCTGCATTAGCCCAAATGAAGGTAAGTGGAACACTGACCAGTAGAAGAACAAACATTGCCCTTTGCATATGGATACCAAGTATATAATACTGCTTTGCACCATATGATTGCCCACATAAAGTGTCCAATGCATTTGCCATTCCCATCTGCCAGCAAGACACAGTTCAAAATGTACAAATGATAAAACCACCCTTTAAGTTGGTATCAAATAACTAAAGAGGTAAGTTTTATGAACTCCAGTAACAAACCAAAACCTCCCTACATGTCTCCAAGGGGATGGCTCAGGATTACATAACACGTGTTTGTGGACTGTAGAAGGCTGCTCTGTTTATTAGTCGAGGTGCGTGCAAATTGGCCTAGACACAACTGTTATTAAGGAAAAGAAGGCATCTAGTACAAGCACGTTCAATTTTCTTAGTGTATTTTGAAGGATCTACATGGTGCTCTTACTAACGCTCTTCGACACAGCGCATTAAGGTAAATGAACAGTTCATGTAGCATTTATCAAACAACCATTTAATCATGAGCTTAAACTAGTGAAACAGGTATTTCTTGACCTTTGTGTTTTTCCTAGTTATCTACTTGTCTCATGCTATAGAATCAAAACTCAGGAACTATTGCAGAAGTTTATTTGAGTACACAAAAGGGTTTAACTTCTACACACTAGCAAATAGGGGCGAAGCTAGTAAGAGGGAAGGGGGTTCAATTGAATCCCCTTCATCAAAAATGATACGATGCAAATAGAGTAAAAGATAGAATTCTTTGGTTATATATAAACTGCCGAATCTTGTTAATATAAGGAAAATTTTTAGTATAGAAGTAAAGGGGGTTCAAAAGTTACTTAGAACACAAGTTCAAATGTCGGCTATCAGAGGCGGACGTAGGATTTTAGTTCTATGGGTTCAGCATTTAAAGTTATGGGTTCATATCTACTATTTCTTGCAATTTTAGTAATTATTTACACATAAATTTGTGCTCTACGTCGAAAGTTCCAGTTTCAGTTGGACCCTGTGCTGCATCCGCCCTTGCCGGCTATGACATTCTAGTATTTTTTTTTTAATTCCCTTATATAAATTCTTGGTTCCACCATCGCTAACAGTGAAAAAGATATTTACAATATCATGTCATGGTAAAGGTAATTAAATGTAAAGTTAGGCTAGTAACCTTTTACAACAAGTTAAATTATACTAATAAGATAAAAATTCATTTACACTGCCATAGTATCCAAGAAATTTATGGAAAATGAAAGTAAGAAACACTATAAACTTGAAAAATCAAGACTAACCAACAAGCTGAGACCAGTGACAGAGGCAAAGGAAGTAGCCATAGAAGCACCAGAAAGAGCTAATTCTCCAAGATGTCCCACAAACATTACAGATATAACTTGTAAGGCAAATAGTGAAAAATTGACTGACATAAGTGGCCCTGCTAATACCAACAGCTTCTTCACTTCTGCAAAAATCTCATCACTTCTTCTCCTTTTCTTACACTCTTCTTTTTCAGTTTCTACAATCAATGGCCACTCAAGATTTTGTGTATCCATTTTCCTCTCTCAAAATTTCCCTCCACAAAGCAAATATTGGCTAAAAATATACAAAATGGAAAGGGGTATCAAAAAGCAAAGAATCATCTTGTCCACTGTGCATGTCTTGGAACATGAAGATTTTAAAAAGATATTAAATGAAACAACCCAAGGGTTAGCCTTAATTTACACACTTTTTATTGGATCAGTTAACTTTATACACTAAGGGGTCGTTTGGCACATAGAATAAGAATAAGGGATTAACTTTATCCGATTTGTTTGTTTTGGTATATTAGTTAATCCCGGAATAATTTTTACGCTAAAATTGTGGGATTAGCTATAACATAAAAGTTGGGATAACGGATCATATGGGACATGGCATATCATGGGATCCCCATTGTACCAAATGACCTCTAACAATGAGAAGAATTACTCTCTCTCGCAACTTATTTGATTGATTACAAAAAAAATAAATTAAAAACTTCTGAAATTTATGTAAAGAAGGCATAGACATTTGTGTGGCTGTATAGGAGTGCTACATTATCTTGTAATTTAACTTGTTGTGATAAGTTGTATGCCTTATTTTTCACGTACTATTTCCACGTATTATAGACAATAGGTGTAGCCGTTTTTGGGTGACCTGATAGTAAAACATCCTTCTACACCGTTAGTATATATAAATGTTAAAATCTTTTTAATTGGCAGTTCATATCCTAGTTTAATTTTGTAGGCATATAAATTTTATTGAAATTAAATCCGTAAAATAATTGGGACTATATCTTAAATTCAAGATATATTAGTTCAAATAAATTTATTGGGCTAATATAATTGGATTAATTATAAGTCCAATACATATGGATTAAATAAATAGGTCTAAATTTATTGGGCTAATATAATTGGATTAATTATAAGTCCAATACATATGGATTAAATAAATAGGTCTAAATTTATTGGGCTAGCTCATTTAATTGGGTTAAAGTGATGAAGCCCAAAATGTCATTTTTCTAGAGGTCCCAGTTTGGTGCCACGTGTCAAATAGTGTGGCACGCCAAGTCAAACGAAAGAGCTAATAGGATCGTGCCACGTGTCAAAATGACAAGGCATGCCAAGCCAAATTAAAAAAGGCAATGAAATTGCGCCACGTGTGCAAGTGACATGTTCTGACTAATCAAATGCGTCATTGTCACACTTCAATTTGATTGGTCGGAAAGAGTTTATTCTTATCGTAACTCTTCCTTTCCACAACTATAAATAGGGGTCTTCATAACCCATAAAAGACACCAGAAGTTATAACAAGAAGCAAGAGAGAGCTCGCGGATCAAACGCCACAAATTTTTCCACAAGTTTCAAGCTTCAAACAATCAAGTTCAAGTTCAAAAAATCAAGTTCAAGCTCAAGAACGAAGAACAAATCAAGATTTAAGGAGTACGAGTTCAAATCAAAGTCTGTGCTAGTTGAATCCAAGATCATCGTTCGTGGCAACAAATATAGATTCAAGATCAAGCTCAAAGGCCCTTGAATTTATTTACTATTGGAAAGAAGAATCAGAAGATTCATAGAGATTGTAGCACTCAAATATTTAAAATAAAATACTACGATTGTTACAATATTTTTCGATCTTGATTTTATTTTCTCGACGCAAATTTATCGTCTACAAACTTATCAGATACACTACAAGATAAATACATATAACCGCCTATAATAACTATGGTTAGTAACACAAAAATAAGTCGGGTCACTTATTACTAACATATTCTTCTTTTCAACATAAATATTAAAATAGCTTGGGGAACTTTTAAGTGCATTGTATTCCTTATGGATTCCACAACTGGAGAGGAAAATTTGTATAATCTATGCAAAGATTTGGAGACATATCTTATATCAACTTGAACCTTGTGAGTGTGGCTCAAATAAGAGCATAATTTAAAGTTTTGGAATCAAATATGGTTGGCCCAAAATATCATAAATGTATACTTTATATTAATTTATTTTAACCAAAAAGGTTTAGGCAGTGGCTAGGCCACCTTCTCCGCTTTATCTCATTATTTTCTCCCCAAATTCCTCTTACGACCCATCCCATAAATATTGTTAATTTACTTTCCAAGGGTATTATCTTCTTCTTTGTAAGTAGCTTTTAATTATATTAGCAACTAAGTCCACTGACCAAACGAGTTAAAGGCCTCATCACTCATATGCAAGTTCAACCTCCTATTGATTAAAGACTCCTTTTCAAGACCTACATTTGTAAAGAAAAAGGAAAAAAAATCTTGGCAATAGTTAGTCTATATATGTTGTTTACAAACAAAAGTAAGAAAATTCATGGAAATCAAGCATAGCTTTGTACACAAGTATTTGAAGCAATGAGGCAAGGCGATGAAGGAGAGTCTTGATACAGCGGTAAAGTGCTAAGACCGCAAATGCAGGTAAGGGATTTTAAGAACTCATTTTCAAGGCTAGAAGCCTGAATCGAATGGGTCCTTCAACTTTCATTTGATTCCGATTGCCGGCACTTGGGTGCACCCAAACAGCTTTCTCTGTCGTGTGTACTGCAAAACATTGCAGAGACGGGATGAAAAGTCTTTTGNAGGTGATAATCTCAACCAATTTCTTGAAATTTTCAGTTGAACTCCCACTTGGTCCAACAGCCTTAAGAGCAAGATCTTTATACATACCAATTTGTTGCTTCAATTCTTCTCTATTTTTTGATAAAACCAAGTCAAGTGCAACCATTGTACCGCTTTTAGTAAAAAACCCACCTTCAATTTTCACTCCAATTTTCCACACTTTCTCAACCATCCAAGAATTCAAGTGATGATCTCCAAAAAATGGCCTACAAATTATTGGCACACCAGAAGCTATACTTTCCAAAACAGAATTCCAACCACTATGATTTATAAAAACCCCAATTGAACTATGTTCAAGAACTTGTACTTGTGGGGCCCATGGTACAATTTTACCATATTCACTTGTATTTTCCAAAAACCCTTTTGGAAAATGTGTTATAAAATCATCTTTAATTGACCAAAGAAAAGGTGTTTTGCTTTCTTCAAGTGCTTCAGCCATAGATTTTAACTCAATAGGTGGTGGTGTTGCAACTGTGCCAAATCCAATATAAGCCACAGAATTTGGTTCTTGATTATCTAGCCATTTAATACAACCATTTTTGTCTATAATATTTGCTGAGGGTGGTGGGGAGGTTAAGTTAAAAGGACCAACATTGAGAAAATTCTTGAATTTGGACTTGAGATTTTCAACAATTGGAGGGTCTAATTCTTCAAAGGAATTTATTGGTAAGGCATTGGCTTTTGTTATGGTTTTGCCCATTTTGTGAAGCATTTGAGAAAATGATGATTCTAAATCTCCAAATATAACTCCACTAGGCAAATCACCAAGCCTTAATTCAGAAAATCCAGGAATGAATTTCAGAATTTCATCTTCACGTCCAGCAATTCCTGTGAAGAAATTAATCTTTTGGTTATACGTAAATATAATACTTCATAATAAATAAACGGAATATAACAACAATAACTACGTTTCAATTTCAAATAAGTTTCTCATGCAATAATCATCATGTAATAATTTTTGCCCCGATCTAATCCATACATTAGATGCAAGCAGGGGCGGAGCTAGAGAGCGAGTTACGGGTTCGGCCGAACTCAGTAATTTTAGTTCCAACACTATATTTGTTTAATAAAATTTATTAAACATGTATAAATTATTAATTTAAAATCAGTAACTTAAAAATAATTAGAATCCTGAACCCATAAGTTTTAAATCCTGGCTCCGCCTATGAATGCAAAGGCAGAGAAGAAAGTTGAGCTACGGGTTCGGCGAACCCAGTAACTTTTGCTTAAACAGTGTGTTTGTGTTAAAAAAATTCAATAAATATATATACTTGAAATAGTCTTTCTAAAATTCGGAACTCATAAAGTTTAAATCTTGATTCCGTCTCTGATCAGATGTTCACCATTCTTCAAGCAAATATAGTGTAACTATATCAAAATTCTTAAAATAATGAAACTACTCACTATTAAAATCTATAGGAAAAGTCATACTATAAAGAACGGAGAAAGTAAATCTATCCTAGTTAAGTATTTTCTTCACCTAAATTTGTTTTTCTCTTACCCCAAGTTTAGTCGTCAACATGAAAAGACTCAAAAAAATGCTGTACGAAACATCTCACATTTATGCAGGATTCGAGAAAGAGCCGCATTCCAAGGATATGATGTAAGCAACCTACATCAGTAATTGATGCCATGGCTCGAACCCATAAATCACAAGAAGATAACTTCATGTTTCTATATTTTCTCCATTATTGATTATTAATTACTTTTTATTTATATATTCGTATATTTACTACAACAACAACAACAAAAGAAAATATACCTTGAACCCCAACATTTTCTCTAATAAAGTCAGTGTAAATATGAACGGACAGTGATCCTGCCGCAGAAGTCCAAACAGGAATCCAATCAACGCCTAATTCCTCCGCAACCTCACCGGAAAACCATATAAACGCATCCGCGATAACGCACGTAATTTTTTTCCCCGTTTCATCCTCAGCAGCTGTTATAGCATTCTGAAAATTATTTTTCGCGGATTTAAAAAACAACCCTATAAGCTCCTCAATTCCCCCTCCTCCGATCGCGTACCCCTCGGGTACGCCATCGGAAATATCAAAGGGCTTAAGGTTGGTACAATGTGGATTGGTTTGGTCGGAGAAAATTGAAGAATTTGATTTAGAAGTGTTGAAAAATGTGAATGTCACATTAGGTAATGCATTTGCTAGCCTTTGGACAAGTCCAAGTAAAAGGCCAGCATGTGTTGCAAAAGGGAATGCTAGAACAGCAACATGATAATTGGACATTTTTTTGGAGAAAGAATGAAAATATGGAGCGAGTGAAGATTTGAATGTAAGTTCTTTTTTGTTGTAAAAGAAATTTGTTTAGTTATATAGGTAACATGTGGAATAATCATAGCCTAGTGACTTCTATAATTGATGATATAAAAGATGCTTTCAAACCGGAGCCTTTATCGTTTATTTTAGTGGTTGCAATTTTGTCTTACTATAGTAATATTTAGATTTATATTTTCATTCTATTGAAAAAAGTTTCTCCTTTTCTATCTTTCTCTCCCCTATTTTTCACGAGTTCAACACGTTAAAAAGAATAACAACAACAAACTTAGTAAAAGCTCACAAGTGAGGTCTTAAGAGGATAATATGTACGCAGATCTTACTTCTATCTTATAAAGATAGAGAAATTATTTCTGATAAACCCTCGGTTCAAAAAAAGTGAAAAAGAAACAATAAGAAAATAATAGTAACAAAAAGATAATATGAAAATGGAAACAAATGGCACGTCGTATAATAACAACGATATAGGAAAAATATTTCAGAACTCTCTCTGAGTCTTTTTCTCTCTTAACTATCTTGTTAAGAGAGAAAAAGAATGAGGAAGTTTCATAACTGTCCAGTATTTAATAAAATATTACAAAATCTTAATAGCATTAATGAATTAACAAAAGTAGCAGCAAAAGATTTACATTCCAATCCATAACGGAATTATAGACCATGAATCACGCTTGTACCAATCCTTTCCTATTTTATAGCTAATAAAAATTATTCTCCTCTTTTGGCCCAAATGATTTATTCCAATTTAAAACCTAGCAAAAATAATACTTTTCGGTATAAAATCTACAACTTTGTCTATATTATACAAACTATTTATTTATTTGTTTCCCTTATACATCATGTATATACACACAGGAAATGTAAGGTTATATATGTGGTATATGTACATTATAAATCATGCATGCTTATTCACTTATATATGGTAAAATCTACCATAAACCACTTATGGTATAATAAAAAATCTTAGGGATATCATATGTATAATTAACAATAACGTATAATTTTAGAATAAATTAGGTATGTTATTTGTAATACTCTATATATTGACTTATTTTCTGCTTCAAGTATATTTATTTATATATGTAGGATAAATTATACCACTTATATATTTATTTGTACATTATATATATTCTAAAAATATAAAAGACATATATAAATTATGTATATTTAAGAAAAAAATATTTTTACATGTGGTATATCATCTCCACTAATCATCATGGCTGAGTAAATCATCTTTTTCGTAACAAATTCTGCAACCCCACACCACTTACCTTAATTCTGAGCTCCATAAACTAAAATATACAATCAAACAAAATTAAATAGAACAGCTAATGGATTAGATGGTAACGAGAGATGAGCCATAACTCATCATTGTGGATTAAAAATATGGGTACAACTACACCAAGCTTCTTTCTCTTAAGGCAATAAAGACATTGTTCAAATTCTATATTTATTTATTTTTTAAAATTATTTAATATTTATAAATTATTAATTTAAAATTCAATAATTTAGAAAATTTAGAATTTCACGCCCATAAACTTCCAACTTTTAGTTAACTCTTTGTCACAGGATACCCCAAAACAAACCAAAACATAAAATAAAGATAACAGCATTCAATATGCATCTTTGTCAGCCAACTACCATAATTTTTCACAAACACCTACCAAATATTTACTACTACACAGAAAAATAGGACAACATATATACATGAACATTTTCCCATTAAACTACTACCATGTTTGACCAAACTTTTAAAATCAGCTTATTTTGAAAAGTACTTTTTAAAAAAGTACATTTATTGAAAAGCAGTTTGTGCTTGACTAATTATATGATATTTGGCCAAGTTTTTAGAAGGAAAAAAGTGCTTTTGAGTAGAAGCAGAAACAGTTTTTAAGGAGAAAAAAATAGCTTCTTTACAAAAGTACTTTTTTAAAAACACTTTTTAAGGCCAAACACTAATTGATACTTAAAAATGCTTTTTAATTTAATTAGTCAAACACAAACTTAATTGGAAAAGTATTTTAGAGCAGTAATTAGTATTTGGTCAAACATTTAAAAGTGAGTTTAAATATATTTTTATCAAAAATGCTTTTAAAAAAATACTTTTAGGAATAAACTATTTTTTCTGCTTTTAAAAAAATATTTTTGCCTCTACTCAAAAACACTTTTTTTTTCTTCTAAAAACTTGGTCAAACACATTAACTTTTAAAAAAAAAATAAAAAAAATTGTCGGCAATAACAAAAAAAGTAATTTTGGCCAAAAAGAAAACTTGGTCAAACAGGCTATAAATTTGACCAGTGGTATACAAAATCTAATTTGTCGAGCAATTTTAGACAATCTTGATAGCCTAGAAATTCAAACTTCAAAAATATGATTTTGCCTTTCAAGTTCGTCACAATCCGATATTAACTAATTGATGATTTCAATTGCTCGATTTGAGAACTTATTTTTAATAAAAAAAAATCTTAAGCTATTTTTTAACGGTAAAGGGCCAAATATACCCCTCTACTTTCGAAAATGGTCTAAGAATACCATTCGTTATACTATTGGGTTATCTACACCCCTGCCGTCATAATTTGGGTTCAAATATACCTCTCATTTAAATGGAGGGACATGTGTCATCGTCTTGTTGGTCAATTATAAATATCTTCTAATTAATTAAAAAGATTCATTACCCATACACGAAACATAATTTTTTTTTTTGTAAAAACTGAAAAAAACTGAAATTATTTTTACTAAAAATTGAAAAAAATAAAAAATAAAAAAAATTCAGTTTTTACAAAAAAACTGCCTTAGAAAAAACTGAAAACTACTCTCTAAAACAATGTTTTTGAAAAAACTAGAAAAACAAAAGCTGAAAATCAATTTTCTAAAGTAATATTTTTTGTAAAAACTGGAAAAAACTGAAATATTTTTTACTAAAAACTGAAAAAAACTAAAATATTTTTTTTTCCAGTCTTTACAAAAAAAACTTCTTGAAAAAAAACTGAAAAATATTTTCTAAAATAATATTTTTGTAAAAACTGAAAAAAAAAAAACTAAAAAGTAATTTTCTAAAGCAATGTTTTTGTAAAAACTGAAAAAACAAATATTTTCTTTTTTTACAGTTTTTAGTTAAAAATATTTCAGTTTTTAATTGCTTTAGAAAATTGCTTTTTAGTTTTTACACAAAAAACTGGAAAAAATAATATTTTCGTTTTTTCAGTTTTTAGTAAAAAGTTTTTTTAGTTTTTTTCAGTTTTTACAAAAAAATATATATATTTTTCGGGTATGGGTAATGGGTCTTTTTAATTAATTATGAGATATTTATAATTGACCAACAAGACGGTGACACGTGTCCCTCCGTTTAAATGAGGAGTATATTTGAACCCAAAGTATGACTGCGGGCGTATAGATAACCCAATAGTATAACGAGGGGTATTATTAGACCATTTTCGAAAGTAGAGAAGTATATTTAGCCGTTTGCCGATTTTTTAATCACATTATTCTTACCCTTTCAAGTTTAGACAGATGAAGAATCTTCTATTCATATTCATCGGTGACAAAGGAATAATCTAATGGGGTTTATGGATTTATCTAAGTTAATTTATGAGCTAATTAATGAAAGATAATTTTTGTTATCGAAAACGGACTGTTGTGAGCTAATTAATAAAAGGATATTATTATTTTTTCCCGGATGATGAACAAACACCTAATTTATGTAACAACCTTCTTTTAGTGTGTATAAAAAAGAATGACATGTTTTTTATTTAAAAATATATTTTTAAACTTTTTATTTTATACTTAATGACATGATTTTGTAGCAACACAAATGTCATGGCATATTTAAGACAACAAGTTATAAGTGTCTTTTTTTTTAGTTAAACTCCGTGTGCAATTAAATTGATTCATATAAAATGAAAGGGGAACATTATTTAGCTTAACCAAAAAACAATTACCTCATCTACTAAGTTTGCATATATCATAGGTAACTATTCCCCCTTCCTATTTTCGTTGTTCACTTTGATGCAGGAGTGAAATACGAAAATGACATTGTATAGCCGCTCTCAAAATAATAGTTGGAAAAAATATATATTTACATTATGTATGTTATACAAAAATTATATAAATTTTAAACACTTTTTCGGCTATCGAATATAAATAATTTTTTATGCGGACTAAAAGTGATAATACCCCGCGTGAAATCGAGCCGAGTTAATCAGATTGGATCGGGCAGCTATGGTTGGGTTATATTTGTTGACGGGTTAATGGGTATTATTTGGGCTGGCCTATGTTCAGTCTCTTTATTAGCTTTTGTTCTTTTCACTCCCTTTCAAGCCCACTTTGACCAGTCCCCAACCCACATCCTCAACAAAAAATTGCAGTAATATGATACTTTTTGGGGCGTCTTTAACATTTGATCCCCGTTTGCTTGATGGTCAGAATTTCAAGGTTAAAAGTTAAACGTGTTGTCCATGGGCCAAGCAAGGGCCAACACTTTTTAAACTTAAAGTTCTGCCCATGGAGCAAGCGAGAACAAAATTCAAGATCGCCCACTTTGAGAATTGTTTGTATACTTCATCCTCCTCAAGAGGCAAGGGGTTAGGCTAGTTAGGTTCAATTTTTTTCATAAAAGACCAACCCATAACCCGCCCGCCTGAAGGAGGCAGACTAGGTGTACTAATAGCGCGAGCTAGCCATATTTTAGTCTAATTGAAAAATAACAACTATAAGTGGAGTTCCAAGTCTAAATTTCACAAGTGAAATTTCATGACAATATTCTAGAGTTTTAACTGCAAAATTTGAAACTTCATGACTATAGCTATTTTTCAATTATAGAAAATTTGAAATTCAAAATGGCTATTTGTGAATTTTATCCGCTAGGTGACCACCCATGGGAACTGAGCTGTACCGACCTGACCCTTTTTTCACTCACAAAAATACCATTTTCTTCGCATCATACACAAGGGAAGTTAGCACCGCAAATGAAAGGACAAACTAACAAAATACTCTATAATTGACAAGGTAAAAAAGAATGCGAAAAACTTGATGGAATATTGGACTTGCGTCGAATAACCCCAATTCAATGCACATCCCCTACTATAACCAGAGAAAATGGAATGCATTTCACTACAAATAAGCTTGGACGGATCAAATAAGTTTGGACTCAAACTGTCACCTCTAATTTTATCCGATAGGTGGGCCACCTCTTAGGAGTTGAGCTAGCTATACCCGGCCCGATCCCTTTTTCACTCGCAAAAATACCATTTTCTTTGCATCATAAACAAGGGAAGTTAGCATCAATGTCGCAAATGAAAGGACAAAACAAAATATTAGAAATGTAGTACTCCTATAATTGACAAGGTGAAAATAAATGCGAAAAACTTGATGAAATATTGCACTTGGTTATTGTATAGGCCAAATTCCGCCCTAAAATATTTAGGGTAATACATCATTAAGGATAGAATCAGTCGAGGTCGGCTAGGGGATAGCGAGGTTCATGGTAAAGAAGGCAGTAATGGCCGAGGTCGAGCATCCTT